TTTAAAATGGCCTGTCCCTGTAGTGAATCCATTTATATTCTCCAGTGTGGAGTGTAGCCAGAGGAAAGGATGCTTTCATGCTGCGTGGAGGGAACAGACGGAAGTATGACAGGCAGTCAGCCCGCAGGCCATGAACAGGTTTGATTTCAACACCAGCGACATTGTTAGCACCTGACAAATAATTGGCTGAGCCTGTGAGATGTGTACACTTGCCTCGATGGCATTCCTCCCTGTTGTTTGGATATTTGTCTTCTGTACAAAAGGCAGCAAGTCTGGAGTGATGCAAGTGATCGCATCCAAAATGTCAAGGGATAGTCTGAGCATTGAAGGGCCCTGCTAATTGTTCTGGGGAAAACTGGCAAGCCCAAAAGGGGGGAAAGGAGACACAGAGATTCTGGCATCTGCTTAGCACAGCCACCGCTTCAAGCACCTCTGCAATTGTACATAGATCAAAGAAATGGCTGATGGCACCAATTAGTGCCTTCCAGCAGAAAAACACCTCTAGCTTAGCTCTGATCACCTCCTATGACAACACCTGCGTGTCTTATCTCCTAAAAAACAGAAGAGGTAAACAATAATGGTGGGGAAATGGGGAGGAGAAGGGAGGCATTCCCTGGCTGGTTGGGGAGGAGGGGGACACTGGCATGGACGGGAGACGGGAAGGGTCCCTGGCATGCGGGGACAGTTGGAGAGCTGTAGTGAGTCCCTGAAGAGGAGGGGGTTGTGAGGGTGACACATTGAGGGCTGGGGAAAGGAGGGGTCCATGGAGCCCCTGCCATGCACAAGCTGCTCAGGCTGCAGAGAAAAGTAGGTGGCATCTTAATAAACCATCATTTCTTTTAAGACCCGGGTGTGGCAGAGGTGCCAGAGGGGCCTCGCTGCACGCTCCCTGCCCCTCTGGCAGTTGTGCTCTTTGGAGGCCAGCTTTCCCTGCACGAATGGGAGCAGATGACAAAGAGCTCTCCGCAGAGTCATTGACTTTGGGATATGCTCCCCGAGCAGGCTGTCAGGATTTCGGATTATTAACCTTCAGGGCACAGTGCGCAGCCCATCTGTTCATTCAGGCTTTTTGCCTGAGGTGGATTAGTTGTGCTGGGTGCTCTAGTTGTGATTTTTCAGGTACCGTGTTGAGACGGTTACCCTACTGCCTGCAATTGTATTATGACGGAAGGTAATCTGGCCGCACTGGGTTCTGATTTAAATGACAATAAAAATGCAAACATAACGTCTCATCGTGCCCTGACAATTAATTAGTCTTTCAATTGCATCATGACCACAAACCAGCATTAAATAGTCATAAACAAATGAATGAACTCAGAAAGCCAATTAATCAAAGCAATAAATCTCCCCCTTTAAATACCCCAGAGACCTAGGTTTTTTAGGGAATGTTTTTGTTCCAGCCAGTTGAGGGCAAGATGATGTTTCATCTTTTAAAAATTGTATTTGATGACTGCAAATGCACTTGGAATTGTAGGCAAAGTGCATATGGCTTCATATATCAAATTATGCAGATGGATACAACTCAAATGTAAACCTGGGTGCACTTTGATTGAATTGCCACCCAGGGAAAACACTCCGATGATCAGGGCTGAATAGCCCCATTTTTTATTTTGAGTTTTGAGTATAGTCAAGCTGATGATGAAGGAGCAGTTTTGAAACTCTCCACCTGGTTTTCCTCTCATATTTACTGGTGTAAATCATGAGGAGCTCTGCTGAAGTCAGTGGGCCATTGTTTCTATTCCCCTGCACTTTGTGCAATCATTTGCATTGGTGCAAAGTGAACGTAACAGGTGCAAAATGCTGTCAGATCAGATTCATGTCGTGTGCATTCTTGCTGCAGTGGTGTAGGGCAAAGGAGAATGGGGCCTGACAGGGGGATGCTGGTGTGAAACTAGTTAAGGCCAATGACTTGAAATTATGGGTTTAACTTTTAAAACTCGCTTTAAGGTAAAGATCATCAGGAATATCTGGTGGGAGGGCAGCTGGTCAGGAAGGTTTGGTCTGCTGTGGGATTAGTGCCCAGGCGAGACTCAAGTAAATCATGTGCTGCCTTTGTGTTTGCTCCCAGGGCCCCCATGGCAATCATCGAGCCTGTGTACTCTGTGTTCCAAGGAAGCAATATCACGGGAGGAATGAGGAGGGCATTGCATCAAGCAGCTGCTGCCAAAGAGGCTCAGACTGAAAATGCATCTTGGCGGGACAATGACCAGGAGTGACTTAAAGGCCCTGTGAGCTGACAGCCAGTTTATCAGTTTGGCAGATTTATTAGAATTTCTGTAGTTTCTGTTTCTTTCCCTCACACCCATCCTGAGAACAAAGGAGAACTCAAGGTCTTACTCTTTCCTTCCACAGCCCAAGACATGATCGTAGGCTTGCCTTCTTTTGCACGTTCAGCTGTTTCATTATGTTATTTTCTGCATTGTGCATTGCAGAAGCCTGGATCATATGAATGTATTCCAACCCAGTCAACCATCTCAGGAGCAATATTAATGCATGAGCTTAAATCTATGAGTATTGTAAATCTAAACTACACTTCAAAATGCACCCTGTTCCCGCTCAAAGGAGTGCGTTTAGGGAGCAAACCCGCTCTTTTTGATGCACAGCTTATAAAAAAGCAATGCTTTAAAAAGTCACTCATTTCTACAATTGCAGGGACCTTCTGGTTTCATCACAAAAATCCAGTCTTGTGGTGGGAATCCTTCTGGACTCTGCATTTGGAGAATACTTTGTCCCATGGGAATAAGCATTGTCATGATGAATCCCAGCTACACACTTCCAAAATACCATTTGTATCTGAGAAACTGATCATTTCCCCTTGACTTAATATAAAGCAAATTCCATGTCAGAGAACTTGAAGTGCTACTGGTCCTTGGCTCCAGGCTCCACTCCCCACCCCACGAGCATGTGCCGTGTGTTTTCCTGACACAATTCAAAAAACAAGGATTCATTCCTAATTTGTTAGCATTGTGTCTCAGACACATGGGCCCAAATAGTGTAAATCAGTGCAACATCCATGGAAGGAGCTGTACCTATTTACATGAGTGGTGGATAGGGCCTTTACACATAGCAATAGGATCTCTAGTATTGCTGCTTTCTCTTTCCTGAACAGTGTGGAATTAAGCTCCTCAGCCAGACGTAGCTGGTCACACTAATACTCTTCTCAAAGCTGTGCTGACATCAAAGACCTTGGTGCTCAAAGATGATTTGGTAGATGAGGGATTGTGCATTAGAAGTAAACAATTTAGAACAAAATGAATGCAGCAGCCATGACATGCTTTGTGTCCAGCCAAAATGAGGAAGGGAAAATCCCTGGTGTTTTCAAACAAAAAAGGACAGCATTGGTAAGAAAGAAAGTGAACATGTTTGAGTAGAAACATAACAAATGGATACTGATTAAAAGCTGTTTAAAAATTATTTCAGTCTGTGTGTGTGTGTGTGTGTGTGTGTGTTTTATTGAGTCTTGTTCACCTTTTCTTGTTCACCTATATCTACTGGTCCTGGTTTCTAGAGCTGTAACTTCAGTGGGGCTGGGACTGTCTTTTTCTTCTGTATCTGTACAGTGCCTGGCACAGAGGATGTCTGGTTCCTGACTGGTTTCCCAAGCCCGTCGCTCCTGCCAGTCAAATGATGACTGACAATAACAAATATTGTGAGTTTATCCTCACCAGCCAGGCCAATGGGCCATCCAAGGGAGAGTCCCCTCTTTAAAGCGTTGGCTAGACTAGTACCTGCTGCATGACATTTGCATTTAAACCCACCATTATAAAGGACCGTACTTGCTTTATTACATGGATAAAATTTACCCCTCTGCCAGAGGCCACTCAGTCCTGCTGCAGCGTTTGAGCTTCGTGGGAGGTGCGGAGTCCATGAACAGACTCGACGGCTGGCGGGTCAGGAAATCCGTCTTCACGTGAGCAGCACCAGAGAGGTGCATGGCTATTACTCCCTCCAAATTACACCAGATCATCGTAGCCTCCCGGGGGGACAGCTGCTCGCTCTCGACTGCCTTCAGAGGCTGGCATAAAAACACTGACTCGTGGGGAAGGCCGACTTGGGGAAACTGAGGCCGTGTAAAGAGCAGAACAGCGACTGCGCCACCAGCCCCAGCACCTTTCTTCTCTTCCTGCCGCATGAGACAGTGCTGTGCCCGGTTCCTGAATGGGGCGCTTGTGTCGAAGCACTGCTGGCTGGGGAGGCATAGCGGGTTTCTAGTGGGGGGATTGGGGGAAGTCTGTATTTGAAGGCCTATTGCAATGGCTCCATTGTTGCCAACTCTCAGGCTTTTTGGTGTTGTTCTTAAAGTCTACGCTTCAGGAATGTGAAAAACTTAGCTTTCTTTTATATATATATAAAGAAAGATAAGTTTTTATATATATAAGAAAGTTTTATATATAAAAACTTAGCTCTTTCATATATATATATACATACATATGTGTGTGTGTATGTGTATATATATATATATATACACATACCAGAAAGTATATATACACACACACATATCTATCTATCTATCTATCTAGATATGTATATGTATAAAAGAGCTAAGTTTATGTATATAAGAAAAGTTTGTCTATCTCGAAACTTGTGTCCCCGCCGGCCCGGCCGAGCCCGCTGGTGCTGTTGAACCCTGGGCTGCTAGAAGGGCGGTGGGGGGGAAGGATGCTCCGGTCGCCATGGCAACCGCGGTCCTCTCCTCCGTGCCTGGGCCCGAACGCGGCGTGTCCCGCGCGCCGGCCCGTAGCCGCGCTGCATGCCGGGCCTTCCCAAGATGGCTGCCCCCGTGTCGTGCTGCTGAGGGGAGTTTCGCTGCCCGGCGCCGCAGGACGACTTCCCCCGCGTGTCGCGTCGCAGCAGGGGGCTGGGGCCGCCATGGGCCGAGCCTGGCAGC